GTATTGTATGATTCTTTTATTCTGGTTTTATATGTTTTATATGACTAGGCACATAGTGCCGCTAACTGTGAGCTGCCCTGACCCCATTCGTGGGGAGGCGGGATATAAATCCAATAAAATAATAATAATAACAATAACAATAACAATAATAATAATAATAATAATAATAATACTACAAGAATTAGTGTGGAACTCAATAAATACACTGTAGATACAATATATCCGTGGTGTTCACTCGGGATACGCCTATAAGAAGAACAAGTCCAATCTGATCGAAGAATGCTTTTGGATTTACCTAAGATTGTTGAGCTGCATGCCGGTCTAAAAATATGCTGTGAAATTTGTTCTGAAGAGATTGATTGTATGGTTCTACTTTTGAAAAAGCTGGGGCGCAACGCGATATTCTGCAGCTAGCCGTTGCATGAAGTTAAAGTTACCGAACCTTCAATCAGATTCGATTTGTTCTTATAGGCGTACCCCGAGTGAACGCCGCAGATGTATTGTATCTACAGTGTATTTATTGAGTTCCACACTGAGTCTTGGTAACTTGTGGATTTTCGCATAATTATACTGGGAAGTAATTTTTGACATCATAAAAATATTTTCATACTACATGTTTCTGAATATTGTTTAAAATATATTCCACACAGTTTTTGTCCTATTTGATAGCTTTTGTCCCATTGGACAGCTGAAGCTACCTAAGAGGCATCATGACGGGCAGCAAGAGGCCTTAAGGCCAAGGCTCAAAACAAGAAACCGCTTTCAGACAAGGTGTGTCAAAGTAGGCTTGCTAGACTATGGCACTGTTGACTGCAGAGCTCATTCTAATGTGGAGCTGGCTCAGTTTTGTGTAATGGGGGGGGGGGCGAATATGCAGTTAAGCACGTGGGGCTTCACAAATTGTTTCTTTAAAAGATGGGGGGAAGCAGAAGATACACCAGAAGATAAACAGGAATAGACAGTAAAAATGAATAGTCTTTTTCTTCTTCTTTTTGTGTGTGTGTGTGTATTTGTGCCCATGCCTGGAAGTCATGGCAACCTCTGGTGACTCCTACTAGAGCATGAAGGACGTTCAGCGAAGTGGCTTGATAGCCCGCCTCTGCCTCCCCAGCCCTGATACTCTCTGCAGGTCTCCCATCCAAATACTCACCAGGGTCAACCCTGCTTAGCTTCTGAGATCTGATGAGATTGGGCTTGCCTGGGCTATCCAGGCCTGGGCTAATACTGTCTTTTTCATGGCCATTTTCCCTTCCCAGAAAGTTCTGACGGAGTGCCCCAGCTGCATGTGCAACAGGGAAGAATAAACTCCACACGTATAACAATGATTTCCCGGTTGAAAGTGAATGCAAATATTTTGCTCATGCTTCACTGCAGGAAAGACAAGAGTCCATGGGCAGCACACACATTTGCCGTCTAGAATGGAGCGGGGGTGAATGTGGCTACCTTCGCAACTTCTTCGCCACGCCGTCCCAAGTTCCATGCCACCCTCTGCCAGAGGCGGCCTCATGAGTATGCGCGACCACCACCCCATGTTCTTTCAAAGAAACAAAATGCCCCCACCAACCTGCAAGGTCGCACAGTTCAGTGTCTGTGGCACTTGTCAATGCTTCTTCCAGTTCTGGATCAAGAGTCACTTTTTCTTCTGTGTAAGACTGTACTGGTTTCTGTTTGGGGATAAATACTTTCCCTGTTCAAAATGAAAATTAAAAAGGGGTGTTGGTTTGTTTGTTTTTGGATGGTACACTTAGCTTTAACCTTCCAAATTACAATTGCCATGTTTGTCTATTGCTGGTGTTCAGGTCATTTCTTCCCAACCCTCTGAAACCCTTTTTATTAGCAGTGAAGAGTGCAGCTAGCTGGTCTCGGTCCACTGCTAGCCCTCAGTGGCTCTCACCCATGCATCTGATGAGAGAGAGCACCAGTTCCTGACATTGTGTCTGCAGACTCCGTGGCATCCGCTGCTGAGTTTCCAAGGCACCAATTTGCTTCTTTCCTAATGCATCTCTTCCCCAAAGCAAACAGCCAGGCCTAACTTTCCTCCACCCCCCCTGGAGCCAAAGGTGCTTCAAAGGACCTCAGGTCTTCGCTACTGCTTTCTGATTGGCCCCTTTTGCCCAATGGCAGCCACATTGTGATTGCCCATGCTCCCTCTTCTGAACACTCCAGAAGTGCCCACGGACACGGCAAGATGAGGAACCCCCTGGAATAGATTCTACTCTGCAACACTAGAAGGGGTGAGCAGTTTATTATTTAGTGTCTTTAAGGTGCCATAAAAAGGTAAAGGTAAAGGTTCCCTTGCTCGAAAGCCAGTCAAATTCGACTCTAGGGTTGCGGTGCTCATCTCCATTTCAAAGCCGAAGAGCCAGCGCTGTCCAAAGACGTTTCCGTGGTCATGTGGCCAGCATGACTGAACACCAAGGCGCACGGAACGCTGTTACCTTCCCACCGAAGTGGTCCCTATTTATCTACTTGCAATTTCTTGCTTTCGAACTGCTAGGTTGGCAGGACCTGGGGCCAGAGACAGGAGCTCACTCCGTCATGCGGCGCACTCGGGTCTCGAACTGCTGAACTAACGACATTCCACAGCCTGCAGTTCAGCGTCTTAACAACTTGAGCCACCGCAGGCCATAAGACTCCTTTATTTAAGGTGCCATAAGACTCCTTTATTTTTTGCAGGAACCCATAAACATGGCCAGGCTTCTGGAATGCATTCCAGTCTTGGAGAGGAGGGCATGGCCTCAAAAGAGGGGAAGGGAGGGGAAGAAGAGGAGAAAGGATTTTCCAGAACAGCGTGGGGTGTAGACAAAGGAGGGCCAGATTTGAGGGCGGGCAAGGAGCAGTTCCAACTGTGAACAGGTACACTGCTGAAATACCAATAAGCTACTGCCACTACAACTACTGAGTCCTTAAACAGGGTTGTCAGCTCTGGTCTGCAGAATTCCTGGAGATTTGGGGGTGGAGCCTGGGGAGGACAGGGAACTCAGCCGGGTTTAATGCTATAGAATCCACCCTCCAAAGCAGCTGTTTTCTCCAGGAAACCTGATCTCTGTTGTCCGAGGATCAGTCGTAATTCCAGGAGATCTCCAGGCTCCACCTGGAGGTTGGCATCTCTATCTGTAAGACAGTGCTGACCTTCTGGAGAGGCTAACAGATACCATGATTATTCTGGACAGTTACTGTGAGATTCTTTGGGAACTGTAAGAGCCAACAAGTTGCATAAAAGGCAGCACAACAGGAGTCTCATCAACGTTCCTAACCATTGAACACAACAAAGTTTCAGTCCAGTGGCATCTTTTAAGACCAACCAAGTTTAATTCAGGGTACAAGCTTTCACACACGAAAGCTTATACCCAGAATTAGACTTTGTGGGTCTTAAAGGTGCCCCCTGGACTCAAACTTTATTCTCCTGCTTCAGACCAACATGGCTGCCCCCACCTGAATCTATCTTCACTTGAGCACAGCAACTAATTTGTTCCCCCCCCCCCACCCTTCCAACAGTTTCCAAAAGATAAAGCTTCTTTCCCCAGTAGAGAAAACGGTTATGCTGGATTGCTAAACAATCACCTTATAGGAGATCCAAAGTCTCCCTTGCAAAACCAGTTCTGTTGAGAAGCTGCCTACTTTGTCTCAAGTACATTCAACCACTACTGCGATGGCTTTGTGCCCTCACCAGAAATAAAGCAAACCCAGCACCCTCAGCAGTCTTCACAAGGCAACCTGGCAGAGCTTGAATAAGTTTGCTTTCCGCCGCGTTGCATCTTAAAAGAATCCACCCCTCCTTAACCAGAGTTTCTGTACTACCTCATGGCCGAACCACCCGATTCCTACCTCATTTTGCAGCTTTTAAGGTACCTGATAAGGTGCCGCTTTGACCTGGATGGTCCCGGCTAGCCTGATCTAGTCATAACCTGGAAGCTAAGCAGGGTTGGCTGTGGTTAGTATTTGGATGGGAGACCGGCAAGGGAAGTTCAGGGTCGCTGCAGAAAAGCAGCCAACGGCAATTCACCCCTGAATGTCTCTTGCCTCAAAAACCTGACAGGATTGCCATAAGTCGGCTGCGACTTGACACTAGGGGGGGGGGGCAGCCCTGTTCTCAACCTAGGTAAATAATTCAGCAGGCTTTTCTTGTTCAAGAATCCCACACCAGTATGTGTACAATGAACAGATGTCCCCTTAATTATTTTCCACTGTTTTGAGTTTATTCCATGAACTTCCCGTTCAAACTTTACGATCTCAGAGACAGATCTGGATTAAAAACCTCTTATGGAAACATAAGAAGAGCCCTGCTGGATCGGACCAACAGCCCATCTAGTCCAGCATCCCATCTCACACAGAGGCCAACCAGTTCCCCAGGAGGTCCAACAACAGGGCATAGAGGCTGGATCAGACCAGTGGTCCATCCAGTCCAGCACCCTGTCTCACACAGTGGCCAACCACTTCCTCTGGATGGCCAACGACACGGCAGAGAGGCCAAGGCCTTCATAAGAACATCAGAAAAGCCCTGCTGGATCAGACCAGTGGTCCATCTAGTCCA